GCCCTCCGCGATATACATACTCGCACGCACGCACGCACGCACACGCACAGGGTATTTGCGGAGTTAATGGCCCGCTCTTTATCCGCGCGACGATCGCGATCGCGAGCGGCCGACACCCGCCGATACTTGCGATACACGTAACACGCGGGCGGGCGATAGACCGTGCAGCGGGACCGGCAGTGTAAATCGCTCTTAAATTAGAACGCGGGGGCCGCCCGGTCGCGATATTTCGATGTGCACGGTAATATTATTCGAGAGCAGATACGCGCTCGCGCTCGCGAGATGTCACCGATAAATCGCGTAGCGCCGGCCGGATCGCACGCGCGCGCGTGCGCTGCCGACGAGGGCGGGATTATCAATAATTCAGTCATTTAATACGGCCGATAATCTATAATTCGCGAGTCCCGTCGGCCGGCTGATCCGCCGCGCCGCGCCGCCTCGCGCCGGCGAGCTCTCGCTCCGACACAAAGTCAACTCTCGCGAAAGTCAACTCGCCCGGATTCGAGGTCCCCCACACGTTGAACCGTTACCTCACCGCCGGCTCAAGATCGATGGACCTAATTGACACATCTCGCGATCGGTCGGTCGCCGTCGCTCTCTCCGCGCTCTCCGCTCGAGAACCGAGGCGAAGATCGCGCGAGTGCGTCATGAGGATACGAAACGGCGGGACGCGAGCGAGACGCGGACGCGTCTCTCGCACGCGCGAGCTTCGAAGCCGCTTTCCTCCGAAGGAGCGACGACGCCTCCTCCGCCGCCGGCACTCCGCCTGGGACCACTCCGCGACGACGCGACGTGTCACGCTCTCGCTCTGCCGCGACGACGCCGCGCCAGACTCGCCGCGCGCGCGGGTGGTGTCTTCTTTCCGCGGTTCGCGGTCCGCCGCGAAATTTCGGAGGAACGGCGCCATTCCGGGGCTCGGCACACGTTCGCAGACTCCGCTCGCGGGCTTTGAATGCGATATCTCGATTGTCCCGTGGCGCTCGATATCTCCTCCCGATACACTTTCTCCGCGGCTAACTGCACCGCCACGCGCTCCGCGACGGCCGCTCGCTTTATGGTCGTTGCACTTCCCTCTCGAGTTTTCCACGCCGACTCTCCGCCGTCGCGCCAACCAGCCGTTATTCGACGGCTTTATTATAGACTCGTCGCCATACATCGCGCGCGCGCGCGCGCGCGCGCGCGTGAACCGTCGATATCGAGAGGTCGAGATCACTTTCGCCCGCGCCACGCGGCTCGACATGGCTTCGTTTCGGCGGCGCGGCGCGTCGCGCGCGCCGCCATTCTCGCTCGGATTTGTGATAATTAACGGTCGGCCGACGATTTCAGATAATTAACGTCGGCGTTAACGAGCCAAGTGCGCGCGAGTAATTCGATAAAAATGTTAAAGCGGATAACTGGAATATAATAGAACGAGAATATCCGCAAGGGGAAGGGGGCAAGGGAAGGATGGCGCGCGGTGCGATGTTGCGGGTAACTGCATTTGCAAGTAACGTTTTCGCGTCTCCCGGAGGATTTTTCACGCCGACTGTCGTCCTTTTTCCGATTTTCCTCTCTCTCTCTCTCCCTCTCTCTCTCTCTCTCTCTCTCTCTCTCTCTCTCTCTTTTCTCTGTACTTTTTTTATTCCCTCTCGTCCTTAGAATAGCTAGCTAAGTCGACCTTCATCCGGCAGAATGGAGATCTCGCCGATGCGAATAATCCGATTGAAAGTTTCGGTCCAGAACCAACTTCCAGGACTTTTGAAATCCCTATCGTGTCCATTTCTCGAAAGAAGAGAAAAAAGCGCTCTCGGGATAGTAGGAGGGGAGAGATACGATCGTGTCACTCTTTCCGGTCCCATTGAGGATTCCCACGGATACATACGCGCACGCGCGCGCGCGCGCGCGCGTGTGTATGCACACTCACATACACACACACACACACACACACAGCGCGCGCGATCAAGAGAGCGCGAGCGTTATGTCGCGAACGTCTTATCACGACGTCACTGATAAAGCAGCCATGATGGATAGGCGAAGAGTCTCCGCCGCAGACTCCGCCCTGTTTTTTCTCTCTCTTTCTCTAGACGGTCGCGCTTTCAACAAGCACTTTTCTACGACGCTAACCTTCGCGGCTCCACGCCCAAAAATAAATCGCCGCAGGCAGGCGAGGCGAATAACATGGCAGCGAGTGGGCGGCGAGAAAGAAATCCCCCTGAAACACGACTTTTCAGCTCGACCGTCCGGGCGGTCCGACATTTTTCCTCGGATACGAGCGCGTATCGCATATATTATTGAGCGCGATTAATGATAAAAGTCGAGGGAATCGTCCGATCGGATGAAAGATGAAAGGAAAGAAAGGGAAAAAACGACAAATGAAAGCTCGCAGAACGAGGATATTCGATTGAATTAGTGGAGAGGAGCGACCGTCATCAACGAGACGCCGAAACGAGCGTTACATTTATAACCGTGTAACGACCGGCTCTCCTCGAACGGCGGTATAACTCATAAGGTCGCTCGCGAAAACCGGTAGTCAAAGCGGCTATTAACGAATTATGAAGCCGACGATATGCACGACTCACGTGCATCTTCTTCGCGAGATCGATCGACAAGTCGCTCCTGCCCCGGGGAGAGAGAGAGAGAGAGGAGGTGCAATTTTTACCCCGATATCGACCAGTTTGAGTATCTTCGCGCGTTTCATTAGACACGCAGGCAAACAGCACACACACACACAGACATGTGTATATACGTGCATACATATGCATCATGCACGAGTGCGGAGGAATGATTGGTAAGGTGCCAAGAATTCAATGGCTCACTTCACCGCGAAGCTTATCGGCTAGCAGCGCGCGCGCGCGGCTGGTGGCGCGCGGAGTTCTTAAATTAGTCCGAAATTATTCGCAGTGATTCGCAATTAATTAAAGCTTAATATCGGGCTTTCCACTCGGAAATTGCCCGTAATCGGATAATCGATATCTGTATTAATACACGTTATAATATATAATGGAATATTATATATTATCGTGCGCGCGCGTCTCCGTGCTCACCGTGTCCGGAGTATTCTTCCGCTCCGATACTTCCTCCGCCCCGTCGCCCGGGGAAAGAACGGCGCTTCCGCGCCGCGCCGCGCCACCCCGCGCGCCCAGCACCTACGTGCAGCCTCCGAGTTATCTCCCTCATATAGCCGTCCGACGAGCGTAATCGCCGCGACCTCTCCGCGCATAATCGCATCGCGGCAGCGGTCGCGCGGGTTCCACCCTCGCGACTCCGACTTCCTTGACTTGCGAGTCCTCAGCGACGACGCGTGGGAGGCGCAGGGCGCACAGGAGAGGGACGGCAGCGGCCGAGGAGAATCATCGCGATGATGACGCGGAGAAAAATGCACGGCGAGTGGAAAAATCCGTCGAGTCGAGGATGACACCTCGATCGGCGCACACTTCCTGAACAGGCCAGATTGTCTACCTCTCTGTCTCTGTCTCTCTCTCTCTCTCTCTCTCTCTCTCTCTCTCTCTCTCTCTCTTTTCCCCTCTCTCTTTCTCTCGCTGTACTAGCTCTCACACTCTCGCGTTCGCGCCTTCGAGCGGTCCCCGCTCATAACGCGCCTTTCTCTCTCTCTTTCTCTCCCTCTCCCCGGCCGTTTCGCGGGCGCGAGCTAGCTGGCTAGTCAGCTAGTCAGCTCTAGCAGAGGGTGGAGGAAGAGAAGTAACGGCGGTGGAATAGAAGCGGGCACGAGGACAAGGAGGCAGAGGGTGAGGAGAAGGACGTGTATGACGAGGAGTCGCGGCGGCGGCGGCGGCGAGCGAGCGAGCGAGCAAGCAAGCAAGCAAGCAAGCAAGCAAGCAAGCAAGCAAGCAAGCAAGCAAGCGAGCGAGCGAGCAAGCGAGCGAGCGAGCAAGCAAGAAAGTAAGCAAGCAAGCAGGAAAGTAGACAGCAGCAATAGAGCAGGGGGAGCAGCTAGAGACGAAGGGGGCTTGCGTGAAAGAGAGATAGCTCGCGCGCGTAAAGGCGTAAAGCGGTGCGGGCGCGATTGGCCGCTTCCGCCGTGTCGCTCGTGCCGATTGGCGGCTCTGCCTTCCCCGGAATCGTGTTATTTCAATCGATATCTCTTGGAGTAGCCACACGCTTGATTTTTCGACGCGCCGCCGCCGCCGCCGCCGCCTCTCTTATCAGCGCTCGCTCACTCACTCGCTCGCTCGCTCGCTCGCTCGCTCGCTCGCGGTGGAAAGGCGTGCGCTCTCTTGCGCGCGCTCGCTCGCTCGCGGTCGACGCGGCGCCTTTTTTTCCGCCGGTCCCCCGTTTAGCGCACGCACCGTGCTACACACGACCGGAGAGACCAAGAAATCGCCGTGTCCCCCCCTTTGGGCCGGTTTAGTTCGCGAGAGACGCCGCGCGCTGGCGCACAGCGCTAGGTCCGCGCTTCTGTGCATCCGGTCTACCCGCGCGCGGGCTACCCCCCGGTGCATATAAAAAAACCCTTCGCGCGTGGAAAAAGTGATAGTTTCTTCGCGATCGTCGCGAGACCTCTTCCGGGGACTACTCGTCACGCGGACCTTCTGGTACCCTGGCTGCTTCCGCCGTCACCGCCGCGCCGCCGCCACCGCCGCCGCCGCCGCCGCCGCCGCCGCCGCCGCCGCCGATCGTACCCACGTTATCCGATCGCAACGGTCGCGGTAACCGAAAGTAGTACAATATTGCGTCGCCGTGTCTACGCTCCTTCGGCCGAGGAGGTGACGAATTCGTCGAGACGGGACCGTAGTGGAGAAGCTCGTGGATCGCTCGCGTTGGATCGCGCCGAGCGACGAGAGGGAAGGAAAAGAGAGAGAGAGAAAGATAGACATAAATCGAAAAGTCACCAAGTGCCGATCTGCGCAATTCGCTGTGGCTTATCATCGTCCGACGCATTCGGCAATGTGCGTGCGCCTCTGACCGACGGATCGCCCGGAGCACAAAGCGACGGTGACTGTGGCCGTCGTCGTCGTCGTCGTCGTCGTCGTCGTCGTCGTCGTCATCGTCGTCGTCGTGGTCGTCGAATCGCGAAAAGAGGAAAAAAGACACGTCCAGCTCCAAGGTCTCGGATGAAAGTACGGAGGAAATTAACGGGCAAGCGGCGGATCCTCTTCCTGCTCACGCGCGTTCTCTCTCTCTCTCTCTCTCTCCCGCTCCCGCCGCCTCGCTTTCGGCGCCAAGGACTTTGTTCGCGAGTGCAAGGCCGTGGCACGGCGCTTACGCAACGGTCCTCCGGTACCACCGTTGCGCAAAGGATGACGACGATCGACCGGCCGTCGGGTCGATCGGGGTGAGATCGCTCGTCGCGTAGGCGTGACGGACGAACCGCGGGCACTTCGCGCGAGCGACCCTCGGCCTCGTCGGGAAATCGTCACGAGAGTCAGTGAGGAAAGCCGCGTCGGCTGGTCTCGTCGTGTCGGCGAGTGCGGATCGCATTAATGGCGCGCGGGAGAATCGATCGGCCGATCGGCAGAGCGATCGCGGCGAACGATCGACGGTGTCTTTCACACGCATCGCGGTAGAGCAAAAAAATAGAGAGAGAAACGCAGAGAGAGAGAGAGAGAGAGAGAGAGAGAGAGAGAGAGAGAGAGAGAGAGAGAGAGAAGAAGAAGAGAAAGACAAAGGGTGAAACTATGGGGTCCCGCAAACGCACGCGGAGTAAGCGCAATCGCTATCGCGCTCTCACACGATGATTTCTCCATTTTCGATTACACAAGAAGAACCCGCACGTCGATCGGAGGAGAGGAGGAGGAGGTGACGGGAAAACGCTCGCTGAAAGGCGCGAAAGGCAGGCGCGCGCTCGCTCGCGCACAATGGGAAGGCCCGGCTGGGAAAAAGATTGGCGGATGAGATTGATCGGGACAACAATGGCGATCGAGGAGCCGGCCCGCACGCATTGCGCCGTGTCCGCGGGAATCGAATATTACGCATAATAAGCATTGAGAGCGCCCTCAACCGTCTGTGTCCAGCTAGTCAGGAGGACCAAACGCCGTCAAACTATTCTTCTTACGGCCCCCCTCGACCGCGCACCCACCACCGGCCGAGATCCATTCTAGTCGTTTATGTTACTCTTCCTTCGGAGGCGAGGCGAGGCGAGGCGAGGCGAGGCGAGGACGCCTTATCGCGCCCGTGCGCGCGTACGCGCGCGCACACGCACATACATACATATACACGTATACATTATTGTGAAAAAGTCCAGCCTCTGTGAAGTTGATTAATGAGAGCGATCATCGTCGAGCGATCGACGAGAGAGAGAGATAGAGAGAGAGAAAGACACCGGTGTCGTGTCGCGGTGTGCACGTGCGCGTATCCGCGGGTCGCGTATGTCCAAGGGTCGACGGCGACGACGACGACGACGACGACGACGACGACGACGACGACGACGACGACGACGACGAGCACCTTCTTCGTAGCCCTCTCATACGACGTCATACGATCGGTGACAGAGACCGACGGGCGCGGCGAACTGACAGACATTCGCGCTTGGGTCTCGAATCGGAGCGCGCGACTTTATAAATTCCGCATATCGAGTGGTCGAAGGGCGCGCGAGCGCTCGCGATCATGCCACCAGTGTCGGGGCCTTTCGTGTCGTCGTCGCGCGCAGAGGGCGGGTGGGACTCTTCAGGTTGCGTGCTCGAGATTCTTCTCTGAAGATGTATGGCACCAATGAAAGCCACGGGCCGAACCACGGGCCTTGGACACCGCCTCCCGCGCCCCAACCGCTCCCGCCGCAAGCCCAGCATCAAAACCATCCCCGACCTCACCCCCACAACCATCCGAGCCACCCGCCGTACGTACCGCCGGCGTATCAGCATCCTCATCACCACTTGCCACCCCAGGTAATTATTGATGAATATTCCACGGCCAGTCCGGCCGCGCGCTAGGATCGAAAATTCGCGTTACGCGACAGCGGCGGATGAGAGCACGCTGCGAGAATTCTGGGAGAGAGAGAGAGAGAGAGAGAGAGAGCAACACGAGGACGAGAGAGAGAGAGAGAGAGAGAGAGAGAAAAAGCTTTCTCGGGTGGAATACATTCTCGCCTGACGTGTGTGCGTGTGCGTGTCGAGTACACGGAGACGCGGATGTCGTGGCTGCGTAACGCAAAGCAACGCAACGCAACGCAACGCAACGCAACGCAACGGGCATTACAGAGTCCGCACGAGTCGCGTCTATAGAGAAAAGAAATGTCCAAAGGCTGAAAGGTGATCTCATTATGACGTGTATTTTGCATGCCTGCATTAATAATGAGGCATTATTAATAACCGGAGGGTAATAATAGCAATGATAATGCACTAGGCCGGGAAGTTATGAGAAACGGCAGCTGAACCGGTCGAATAAAAATTGGCGTCCCGTTTGCGCGATTGCGCGATCAAAAGGGGGAGAGAAAGAGAGACCTATGGCGCGCGCGCGCACGCAGTACGATAAGCGGTTACGGACGTAGACAGTGTATAACTGTCTTTAGACGCACTTCGCTCGTTCGCTCAATCTGACGATTAATCACGAGGTGGAGACCGCTACCTGATGACCGCTTATTAAATTACCTACGTGATTCGCATTATGGTTATATACCTGCGAGAGAGTGTCTTTACCCGCCGCTAACCGAGGGTATTCGCCTGGCGATCGTCGCGTCGATCGAAACGCAAACCTGTTCGAACTCGGCGACTGTACACTCCGCGAACGGATCTTCGGGTCTCTCGTCTTTAAGGAGATTCACATGTCGCTAAAAGCTAGACAGACACAGAGGGAGAGAGAGAGAGAGAGAGAGAGAGAGAGGGAGAGAGAGGGAGAGAGAGGGAGAGAGAGAGAGAGAGAGAGAGAGAGAGAGAGAACAAGAGTCGCGGAGAAGTCTGCGAAAATATCGACGCGACAGGAACAGTCGCAAACGACCGTTAATAATGAACGCTTCGGCAAAGCCGCTGCTAAAAATGACCGTTACATATTTGATGCAAAGTCCCCGCGCGCGGTTGGAAGTTCGCGCGACACGTCGCCAAACTTTCTGATTGAAATTGTTTTTTCGCTCGCCGGAAACATCGCGCGCGCTCTCCTCTACGTTTCCCCCCGACCCGTACTTGGTAGGTAGGACCAATTTCTCACTTGAAATGGCGATCTCGCGTTCGCGCCGTGCGTCTCTTTCTTTCTCTCTTTTCTCTCTCTCTCTCTCTCTCTCTCTCTCTCTCTCTCTTTCTTTCTCTTGTCGCGTAATTCGAGTTGGGTCGAGTGCAGCGTTACACCAATGACGTCGAGACGAGACCGCAAGGCCGACCGATCATTATAGACTTTCGCTCGATCGTCGAGATGCACGTCCGGCGATCCTACACTCTTGACATTGGTGTCCCTCGGCAGGCTGCGTCCTGCCGCCACCGCCGCCGCCGTCGCACATTAATACGATCGATATAGACCGTTATCGCGCGATCTCGCGGCCTGCCCAATTTTTTCCCCTTCTCTCTTCCTTTTTTCTCAGAGGCCTGCCACCCCACAAGCCGCAGGATAACGACTACCTTTCGGCGTCCTTAATTTCGACGTGCCGCGTCGTGTTATTTGATCCTATCCGCCGACGAAACAGGAAGCCCGATTTCGCGTACCGTAGCGGAGAGGCAGAAAGAAGAGAGAGAGAGAGAGAGAGAGAGAGAGAGAGAGGAGGGGGAGGATGGCGAGATAACGTCGATGCCTCTGGTGATACCGAAATCTCATCCTTTTTCGCCCGTTCTTCCTCACCCTTTTCAGGCGTACGATTATGCACGTGAGAGAAACGCGTTCTATCAAAGTGCCACGTTTCTTCTATTGCGCTTTTTCCGAAATAACCGAGGCTGCGCGCGGTCGTAAGGAAGAGTGTCTAATTGCAGTGACTTTGTGGAAATTACCGTAAAACTGGTCGGTTAATAGGCGATATTCCGCGGTTTGATCGTCCGGCTGTAATTAAACGATCCATAGAGATAGAGAGGTCCCTCCCTCCCTCCTCTCTCTCTCTCTCTCTCTCTCTCTCTCTCTCTCTCTCTCCCTCCCCCTCTTTCTCTCTCGGCGAGATTACCGCATGGTAACGAGAGAGCGACACAGAGTCAGAGAGTGTCGTCAGCAACGTTCGACTCCAACTAAAACACGAGGCAGATGCGGGCTAATAGAGCGAAAGGCAGGGCTCGGGGTGCCCCGCAGGATCGCTGCCGAAAAGAAATCACAAATCGGCTCGTCCTTCTTCACGCAGCTGATCGGCCGCCAACGATCGCCCGCCCGCGCGCGCGCGCGCGCGCGCGCGTCCGCGTCGACCGGAAACGGACAACATACCTCGCGGAGAGGATCAACGTGCAACGATTCAGGCGGATTAAAGCCGACAATTACAGGGAGCCGAGAGGTGGCTTCCCCCTTTTCCTTTATAATACAGTGCTAGTCCGCGGCGGTAGTTTAGACAGATAGGTGGGTAGATAGGTCCGCGAATGAGTCAGGTCATGCTAGGTTAGATTGGACGTTGTCTCCGTACACGTACTTCCATGTATGCGCGTACTACATACATACACACACCCACACACACACACACACACACATGGGCGCACCGCGCACGCATACACGTGGACGATCATGTACCATATGTGAGCCGCTGGATGGCCAGCGTGCGTGGGTGCCGCGGCGCGTGTGCGTACGTGTGCACGCGCGTGTGCGCCGTGCAGAGAAGGCATATGGTCAGCAGGTGAGACCTTTGCTTTGTATTCCAAGTGTATAAAGTAGCCCACTTGGAGTGGCCCGACGTTACTCACGGACGTAACTCACGGTGAGAGAAGGCAGCCAGGAAGAGAGGAGAGAGAGAGAGAGAGAGAGAGAGAGAGAGAGAGAGAGAGTGTATGCATGTGTGTGTGTGTAAAAGAAAGGGTTGTTGCGCGTCGGCTTCTCCAGAAATGCTAACGATCCCTTCGAGCAGCATCAGAAGGAGACCGCCGATACGAGGAACGAAACGTCCGGCTGCGTACACAGCAGCAGCAGGGAGAGAAACGGGGTCGTGCACTTTTCAAGCTGAAATCCCGCGGAGAGTCTCTTTGACGCAACTGTGTCAGAGATGACTCGTTAAAATAAAACAGACGCGAATATAAGAGAGAGAGAGAGAGAGAGAGAGAGAGCGAGGGAGAGAGAGAGAGGGAGGAGAGAAAGAGAAAGACCGAAAGGACGTCGTGTCGCGCGCAAAGTGAAAATATTCGCCGACGCGACTCTCGTCGCGAGAGCCGACGAGCTCCTGCAGATTTTACTACTGCTACTGCTACTACTACTATTACCACCGCTACATTAGAAGAGAGACAGAGAGAGAGAGAGAGAGAGAGAGAGAGAGAGAGAGAGAGAGAGAGAGAGAGAGAGAGAGAGAGAGAGAGAGAGAGAGAGAGAGAGAGAGAGGGAAAAGAGGACGAAGGGTATAACGAGCGATCCGAGAGTTAATAAAAAATGACGGGCGCGAGGGTTGGGATGTACATAAAAATTGGAATAACGCGTGAGAGTGGCGGGAGAACGGACGGGAGCCGAAGAGAAAGCGGGAGATGTTCCCGAGGAAATACAGTGTTTGCGCCGCGGTAGGGAGGGGGTGGGAGGGTGTCATTTGATATATTTTTCCATTATTAAGGACATTAAGCCGGCGGCCCGCGGGCCAACTCTTTCCGTTTTCTTCTTCCTCTTTTCATTTCTCTTCGCGGGGCCTCGGTGCACCGCGACTATCCTCTCTCTCTCTCTCTCTCTCTCTCTATCTCGTCCTCGCTCTTTCCCGCCTCTCCCTCTGTCGCTGTCTCCTTCTTTTTTTCCCGCGGCTGGCGACGGCGATAAATCAGAAAAAAAGATTCAAACCGCCAGTATGGTCGGGCGTCGGGACGCAATTTTCCGTCTGCCAGGAGATAAAAATTTGATTAATGGCCGCGTAGTCTTGAAATTTAAGAAAGGCGCGGCACTCGCTCGCTCGCCCGAACTCCTCCGTCGAAAAACTTCTGCGGAGAATAATAGCCGACATTGTTCGTGTGTCGATGCTGCCCGATGAAGTCCCGCGACCACCCTTTCTCCCCTTCTCCCCTCCCCACGGACGCACCGCCGAAAATCGATCGAAGGGACACGACTGCTCGACATCACTCATGACAAATTTATTCTAATTTAATTAACGATCGTTAGCACAGGCCCGTAGATACCCGAGAATGTCTAATGCACATTTAATTCGCGCTTTGCGGACTTTGGGACACGTAGGTGCGAGCGCAACGCGGGGTAACTCGGGGTAATTATCAGCATGCGATGATACGAGTCGTCCGATCGGATGAGCAAACGAACCGACGAACGAGCGTGCTCTTCTCCTCGCGTTCGAAGTTTCACGAGAAATCCTGATGAGCCACTCGAACGAGCACGCGTGTGTACGTTTGTGTGCGTGGTTGTGAGAGAGAGAGAGAGAGAGAGAGAGAGAGAGAGAAAGAGAGAGGGGGGGGGGAAAGAGCGGTTAGAAATTCGCGACGCGAATCTCTGCCTCTGCAGAGGGTCAAACCGTTTTTCACGAACCCTTCCGTCACTCCCGGTGCCGGTTAATCATCGTGAAAGTCCGCTCGCGAGGGACGACGGAAGGGAAGGAGCGTGAGGGAGGAAAATCTGTGTTGGCAAGCAATTACAAACGTCTCCGAGATATCGAAACGGGCAAATTGGAATTACGCAGCACGGAAATACGCGTCGAGTCGCCGTCCGCTTCCTTTCGGCGCGCAAGGGCCGAAGCGAGTGCATTCGTCCCTCCCGACGACCCTCCCCTCGACACGTCGCTCGTCCGGCGAAAGGAATCTTTTTTCTTTTTTACGATACGATACGACGGGCGCGACGGGCGATACGCGCACGCGAACCCCGTGGGGTATCGCCAGATATATTGGCGCAGCCGTTCGTACATCGATTAAACGAGTACATCGCCGTTTCCCTCCGTAACCCTCCGTCATGGCGGCTCGAATAGCACCGCAAAACAGCAGTAATTTCATTCAAATCGGCGACGAACAACAGCCGGCCGCTCCGCGCTCGAACGGGCCTGGCCGGCCGCGGCGCGGCGCGGCGGAGGAAGCGCGGGCGAGGAAAAAGGCGCGGAATAAAATCGCGAACCGGGCGGCGCAGGCTCTCCCTCTCCCACGGGGATTAAAGAGTCCAGGGATGCCCACTGTCGGCCGTCAAGTATCCGGCAGTCACGTAGAACGACGCGAACGCGCGAGCGCAGGGAAAGGGTTGAACTCGCGGAAACTTGAGAACCCCCCGGTGACAATTTCAATTCTCTCTGTCTCTGTCGCCGGCCGCTCGCCTCTTCTCGTTCTCTTTCGTTCTTTCCCTCGCTCTCTCTCTCTCTCTCTCTCTCTCTCTTTCTCTTGCTCCCGACGACGCTCCTCCTCCTCCTCCTCCTCCTCCTCCTCGTCGCGCGAAGGGGGTGACCTAAGATTCTTAAAACTTCTCGCGAGATTTTTCGATTTTAATTACAGTTTTAACATATTTTAATAAAATCCCCCCCCCGCGTGGCGAGTCCGTCTTCTCCGCCGTCTCTCCGGGCGACTCCTCCGATTCCACTCGTCTTTAATTCCGCCAACTTTCAGCCCTTCTCTCCCTCGCAGCCAAATCCCGATCGGCTCGACAGCCCGGCGAGACTCTTGCCCCGGACTGTACGGCCTTAACGTTAACCCTTTCGTTCGTTCACCTACACCCACACCCGCGGTGGGCGCAACACCTGTTCCCCGAGCGGAGGAGAAGCCGAAATTGAACGTTCCTCCGCCGGCTCGACACACACGCGGGCCCGGCCCGGCCCGGCTCGGCCCGGCTTGGCCGGCTCTCTCTGTCAGTTTCGGTTCTTCCTCGCGGCGCTCAGGAAGAACCGGAGGAGTGTGATTGAGCCCCGCCGCCGCGCGCCGCCGCCACGCGCCGCGCACTCTCCGCGATTTTTGTCCCGAGCGAGCCTCCGCCTGCCGCGACTCGCGTCGTGCCGCGCGCGCGGATCGATGGAAGCGAAGCCGTTAAATTGTAAGCACTCGCGCGATCGAGAGTGCGCGCCAAGTCGAAGGATGTGGGACGTTAGATAACGCGCGATAGAGAGGCCGGCCCCCGATGCGCGCCACGCGTCACCGCGGCGTGTGTGTACACGGACGTATCACGAGTGACGGGCGTGCAAATTCGAAAAGTCGCATTTCACGTAAAGCACCGTGTAACGGTACGGTAAACGTGTACTGTAAACATGCGGTAACAGTACTGATAATCGGGACGGCGGCTTAGAACGATCCGAGCGACAAATTTCGCCGTGCTTCGGCGCACATGCACACACAGACTCAATACACACACACACACACACACACACACACACGACAGACGTCTCGCTCGCGGAATCGGAGGTCGCTGTGTCGGTCAGTAGGTCAAGTCGCACCGTCGTTCCGCAATTATAAACATTGCCTCTCGCACGAATCGAAATTTTGCTTCTGCGTTAACCTTGCAAGTGTCATCGCCGATTGAAGGGCGCGCAACGCGGACCCTCTCGAGTCCCTCTCGAGATACATTATACATACTTTGTTACTTCGACGCTGCGAAATGGTTTCTCATTGTATTCGTACTCTCCATGCTGAATTTATTATACGGGATTCTTTTTGCTATTCTTTTAATATCGCGCTGAATGTTTGAAACTCTGAACTCCGACGCGTTGTGACGCTAATTGTGCGAGTTACGTTACCGCAGAGGGAACACGTGAGGATTAATCATTAAATAACTCGATAAAAATCGCGGGTAAATGCGACAAGTTCGATGAGATTTGTAGCCCCGAAAAGAGCCGACGTGGGCTATAAGAGCAAAGGTCACACCGCTGTATGTTCAATAATAGTGTGCGCCGGTAAACATTTAGAGACTTGAGAGTTCGGTAACGATGATAAGCGGAAACAAAGAGAAGACGTTGAAAAACGCTAACAAGCAAAGATTCGCGGCTCAAGAAGCGTTATCAGACCCGCGCGAATCAATCCCCCCGCGATAGATTTCGAGGCAGGTGTGTGTTCGTAGGTGCAAATAATTTACGATTCTTGATCGAGGACACGAATGAACTACAAATTCGTATTCACGGAACGCCGTTCGGATCAATGTTTCTTGTTGTATAAAATAAGCAAACCGTATCAAATAAGTTGAAGTATAAGAAATAGGTACGTGTTAACGAATATATTGGAAGATTCATAAAGTTATAATTATTTCGACAAGATGACGGCTAATGCCGGCTATGAATGCCGACCTAAATTTCGACTCGGGATATCTCCTTATTCTCGGCGAGTTCGTCAAATGTCCATTAAAATTGAAGTAATTTTGCATAACGAACGATTCGATTCACCAGGTTGACGCGATGTGCCCACGTCGTGGCGTCCTGGATGGCTTGCCGATCCAGCACTCTTTGTTGCCCGCTGCTTCGTCGTAGCACTGACACTAACCAACATCAACACTCGTAATCGTTTTCCCAATCGAGTCGTGTTTACGACTCGATTGGGAAAAAGTGCGTTGAGCGACGCGATGTCAATGACGAGGGGAGCCCGATTAAATATTTCGAAGACTGACGGAAACGATAACCGCCGATAGATTGACTGAACGCTCGCGAGATCAACAACTTTTAGAACATTTCGCAGGCTCCGACCGACGTCGTCCAGCGTCCTCTTTTATTTCTAATTAGAGCGCAAAATGCAAAATGTCTTCCTGCTGAATCTAAAGTCAAGCTCCAAGAGGTTCGTCGTACCGCTGCTGCACGAGCGCTACCGTTGTTCTTACAGTCTCTCCTGCCAATTTCGCTCCTCTTCGGTCTCCTATCAGAATTTTCATCACGGTTATCGACAAACATGTTGGTAACAGATTATAGAGAGGACGGTGTTTTTACACCCGCTGCTCTCGTTATTTATCCTCGTGTTAACTGTTTAATATTTGTTATGTTTACCGCCACATGCGCTCGACATGCGGTCGAGCAAGAATCGCACGATTAACACATTGTTTGTCGAAACTAAGAAAACACTAGTCACGCGGGCGAAACATCGAGATATGGCAGCCGAACAGCAAATGATCCTGAAACAAGCTTCTTCTTTAAGCGCCCCGACATTTTCGAACACGGCAGTGAAATGTTGATCATTTCACAGCGTCGAATGTCGAGCGCCAACAGTCTCTGCGATATTATTCGACGAGATTCTCCTCCCGGTTGGTGTTGGCCCTTCAAGTTCGACGGAATCTGCGGGGTCAATGCGGAACGAAAATTTCGACCCGGGTCAGCCCTCTGCTAGCGCGACCTTGGTGGTAACTTCTAATCGCCGAGCCAGGTTCAAACACCGGCATTCGACTCGGGCTCGACGATACGACGTTGCGCGGTGCAATTTCGCGCGAGTTGCTCTCGCGCAACTCAAAACACTCATGATCTAGCCTTGACATATCAGCGGAGAAGTTCAGAGCGCAAGCTTCAGAGAGAGAGAGAGAGAGAGAGAGAGAGAGAGAGAGAGAGAGAGATATATATATATATATATATATATACGAGGATCGATCGAACCGTGTGCGTTATCAATCGGCCAAAGCTGAGACGGAGAACGCCGTACCTCGGAACGATGTGCTCTTATTAGAGGCGCTCCCCCTCCGAAGGCAGCAACTCGCGACTTGCGTACTTTTTTGTATTTCGAAACCCTCCGTCGGCCTAGAGTCGCGAGATGAGTTAAGCCGACGGGGATACTAATACCAGCTACGCGTTGCTGCAGAATCAGTTTCACGGTACGGACGTTTCGCCTGGAGGTCACCTCGTGCCGCCACCTTTCCGCGAGCACGCTACAACCCCCTCCCCCCTTGCTTCTTGCCGAAGCGCAAAGAGCTGGGTCGCGTAATTGTGTGTAATGTGTGGCGGCGAGGTGACGTCTCCTCGGCTTTGGCAGATACATGAAGGATGGCGAGATCGACCGGAAGAAATAACGAAGGAACAGGGAATAGTATGAGGAGTATGTGAGGGGCGCGCGGTCAGGGTCGATCTGCCATCCCCCGTTGCTCGGCGAAAAGTACAGCGTACCAACTAACCCCGGCAGTTCTTCTCGCAGATCTTCATGCACAAGAGCGCGATGCAGATGCACGCGAGGGAGCTGGGCGCGGGTGCACTGACGGCGAGGCCCGGCGGCGGCGTCGCAGGCGGCCTGGCCGGCCTAGGCGTCGGTGTCGGCGTCGGCGTCGGACCGGGTGGCATGATCGCCAGCAACGAGGTCAAGCCGCACCAGTGCCAGCAGTGCCTCAAGTCGTTCTCCAGCAACCACCAGCTCGTGCAGCACATCAGGGTCCACACCGGCGAGAAGCCGTACAAGTGCAGCTACTGCGACCGCAGGTTCAAGCAGCTCAGCCACGTGCAGCAGCACACAAGACTGCATACGGGTGAGTGAGAGAGCGAACGGATGGATGGACGAACGAATGTGAATCGGCCAGCAGAGTTGCTTCTTTGTCGGCCCTGCCGCAGAGACAGAGTCGTGAGCAGAGAGACAGTTTGGCATCGCGACACGCCGATCGGCTCGGTGTGCTTTTCTTCGTTGTTTCGTTGTGCCGACTTATTAAATCGGCAACGCCCGTATAAATTAATGCATAATAATACGCGTTATAACCCCACCTCCCTCCTCCGTGCTGGCGTTCGCGCGCACTTTCTCCTCTTCCTCCTCCTCTTCCTCCATCAACCACCACCACCACCACCACCAACCACTACCTGCAGCAGCAGCAGCAGCAGCAGCAGCAGCATCACCGCTCGCCCTGGGCTCGTCGTTACAAAATCGCCGCCGAGTTATTGGTCAATAAATTAGTGCGCGAATATATATTGCTGTTATAGTAAATTCTATGAATACTATATATCGCGTGAGCGCGGGCTATAGCCAATAATCAATAAATTAATATGCAGTTATTGTTTGTACGGGCAATCGTGCGTCCCGATTGTGACTAACTTGAATGCGCGCCAGTGCAAAATTGCTTTGTGCATGCAACATGCGCGCAAGTAAAATATTCCCATACGCCCGGTAGATTCTGCTGAACGAACGAACGAACGAATGAGCGAGCGAACGAACGAACGAACGAACGAACGAACGAACGAACGAACGAACGAACGAACGAACGAACGAACGAACGAACGAACGAACGAACGAACGAACGAACGAACGAACGAACGAACGAACGAACGAGCGAACGAACGAATTAACGAGCGAACGAACGCACGTACGCATCTCTTCGATATATGCAGCCAACGCTTTCGCACGACCAACAACGAAGCCTCCGATATTTAGACAATAATGCATCTGCAATCGCGCGCGGGATGGCCTGCGACTAAAATAACATCGACCGGCCGGGGCCGGCAGGAAGGATTTGCAATAATGAGAAAACCCGATCTGGCAGCAAAGGCAGCCAATGGGTCGCGTCCGGGTAGAAAGAATTTCATTAAGGGATGAGCGTAGTCACTCGGAAGGTATTAGCCTCGCAAGCGAACGGTCAGCGCCGTGTACGCGCGCGCGCGTATACGACTACTACTAGACTCTCGACCCTTGGAAAAATCTCGTTGACCTTAACGAAGATTTGCTTTGCAACGAGGCAACGAGAAAAAAGGCGCACCCACGTCGGGGTATTCGAGCTATTTAATCGAGAATCAGTCGGAGTCGGTCCGATGAAATCGAGAGAGAGAGAGAGAGAGAGAGGGAGAGAGAGAGAGAGGGAGAGAGAGAGAGAGAGAGAGAGAGAGGTGCACGAGAGCCTAAGTAACAATCGAGACGTGGCTCATCGTCGACAAAGTAAATGGAGATTTTCCACGTCAAACGTAATGTAACACGTAACATCCTGCCTTCCTTTCTCCCCCCTCTCCTCTGTTTCTCTCTCTCTCTCTCTCTCTCTCTCTCTCTCTCTGTCTTTGTCTCTATCTCTCTCCTCCTACTTTCTTTCACCGAGCCGTTCTCTCAAACATTCCTCAAATCGAGGAGAACGTTCGCGACACGAATTCGCGATATTCCTCGCGACACACACGCGCAAACGAGCGATTCGACTCGACTCGGCTCGGCTCGCGCCAGTCGCCGCACGCTCGATCAGGTTTATAAAAGCAGATGCCGCGGGTTTGACGAGAATATCCCGCCTGTAACCTGGTTTTCCACGTTCGCGCTTATCTTTTTATTTCCACTGCGGTTCCGCGCCTCGCCTCGCCTCGCCTCGCCTCGCCTCGCCGCGCCACGCCGCGCCGCGCCTGCCGAGCTTGTCTTTTCTTAACCGTAAATAGCGGCGAAAGAAGGACTCGCATTGATTTTAGCCGGCCCATCTCTCTCGACCTCCCATTCCTCTCTCGCTCGCTTGTTTTCTCTGTCTCTATCTTTCACCCTTCCTTTCCCTGCCTCTCTCTCTCTCTCTCTCTCTCTCTTTCTCTCTCGACCACCCACAGCCAAATAACTACTGCTCAGCCACCCCTTACATTAATAACCGCCCTTCCCCACATATCCCACTCCTCGTCGTCGTCCTCTTCCGCAGGGTGGTGCTCGAGCTGGGCGTATATGCACGCGCGTACATGGAGGGCCGCTTTGAATTTCTACACTTGTACCGATAAAATGTTTTAAATGCAGCCGTATGCAGCCCCCGGCCAACCGGCCGACCGACCGACCGACCGACCGACCGACCGACCGACCGGCCGACCGATCGGCCGGCTGAATACTTGAATGAGAAAAGGGGTGCGGAACTTGCAGCGGTATCTCGTGACGCTCACGACCCCGCGAAACTCACGGGTAGTCGGTAGTTTAATCGCGAGAATCGGAATATTTCTATTTTCGGATGTCTTAAGGAGAGAATCTCTAACGAGATTCGGCGCTGCGGAATTTATATCCACGTAGCGTGCGAAACTCGACGAGCTCGTCGTCGAGTTGTGATACCGTCCGTCACACATATGTTCCACCGAGCCAGCAATCTTCCTCGATAATTCGCAACGAATCGATCGTGATCGTCGAGGTTCGTACATCGATACCACGACGGCAATCGCTGTCGCGTCTTTGTCGCACGCGAAGAAGTCAACGGTGACAAGACGACGGTGAAAATGTGCGCGAGTGTGACGTTCATTAATTTTTTCGACTGCGCTCGCAGCCGATAACAATTCTACGGAAGCGATTCCGCACGTCGAGGTCGGCTTTCTCCTACTTTCCGTGGCGGCTTTTTTCTTTCTTCCTTCCTTTCTTTCTTTCATTCTTTCATCTCAGCACCTCAGTCGCACTCGTTTCCCGTCGCGGTGCCGCTCACGCGCTTGCGCGCGCGCTCCCGCAAAAATCGGAAAAATGACGGTCGCGCATAGCGTCGGCGCGGCTTAATTGCACCGGGCGATCGCTAATCGAGATAACGCGAATGCAAGGCGGCGGCTACTCGGGAACCGCCGGCATTTTTGCAACGAAACAATCCCGTTATAGCGTTCACGCCGCGTATTGATTTCTCATTTCGATGAAATTCTGGCGCGGCAGGGCACGCGGCGATTGGTCGCTCGCGTTCAAAAATCGGCGGGAATTCGCCGGCGTACCGACGTGCCACCCTCCCTCCCGCGCCCTCCTTTCCGCCTACCATCCTGCCCACCCACCTCTGCCATCCTCGTCCCAACGCTCCGCAAATATGCACACGAGTTACATCGTTCGCGCGCATATATGCAAGCGCGCGCGCGCTGTTATATATTATACATATAATTCATTAACCGAAATTTGCGAGAACACGCTCTGGGGGTGCCGGGGCCGGGGGACAGCGAGCGAGAAACGAAAGAACGAGGTTGGGGTGGGGGCGGACGGGGGAGGGTGGAGGGGCCATACCGGCGGCACAGGGAATATAATATCGACGACTGTCCGCGATATCGATAACTGGTCAATATCTGTGTAGCCTAGACAAGTACCTGGTGAGGGTGCAGAGCTGTGCGCGCGATAGGGGTAGGAGTAAGGGGAGAAAGCGAGGGGGCGAGAGAGAGAGAGAGAGAGAGAGAGAGAGAGAGAGAGAGAGAGAGAGAGAGAGAGAGAGAGAGAGAGAGAATAAGAGCAAGAGCAACGGAGAGCGGAGAGTCCATCCACCCCCTCTCGCGCCCAGCGGCGCGCAAGGATGACCAAACGGCCGAGCCAATGAGAGATCCGGACGCCCCACCGGGGCGACAGTACGCGAAAAAGCGCGGGAATTTTTCGATCGCCCGATCGCTCAATAATAGAACCGAAGTTACGCGCGCCGCCACCATCGGTCGCAAGCGCGCACGACCGCGCGAGCGCGTGAACGCGCGGCGATATAGAATACACACACACACACACAACACGTTCGCACGCACGCACGTGCGCATACGTGCGAATGTATACATGTGTTCGTAAGCGAACGCGACGATATCGGGGAGAGAGAGAGAGAGAGAGAGAGAGAGAGAGAAAGAGAGTGAGAGAGAGAGAGAGAGAAAGGGAGGGAGAGAGAGAGAGAGGGAGTTAGAGAGAAGGAGAGAAAGAGAGACGGAGAGTGCGAAGGGGAGGAAGATAGATAGAATCCGCGCGCTAGCAGCAGCAGCAGCAGCAGCAGAGGCTACCAAAGATTATCCCTTCGGCAGCCGGCAAAACTCAATTTCCCGGCCAAAATCTAATGATCGGCCACCCTGCGCGCCAGAGATTAATCGGTTTTCCCGGAGCCGCTAACCGGGCGCGCGCGCGTGTGTCGACTGCGAAAATCGCCGCTGCGAAAAGCAGCCGCTGCTGCCGGCGGCATCGGTCTTCAAAGGACCCCCGGGCGTGTGATTATGAGCGTCGCGCGAGAGAGGACAGGAGAAAGAGGGGAAAGAGGGAGAGGGAGCGAGCGAATGTGCCGGTATAATCCGCGCGTGTAATTTCGGTAACATCTATGACTTAATGACGAGCCGCCCTCCATCAGCGAGTCCGCAATCCGCATTACGAAAAACGGTTATCGGTGAGCACGTGGTCTTCAGGTCCATCTTGACGGCGTGGCCGTCTCGCCGCAGGAAGCAATTTGCGAAATATCGGAACGGAAAACGTGATATTCGCGACGACGAGGACGTGATACTCGCTCGCCGTGTCCACATCGCGAGGACACCAGCGGTACGGGAGAGGAGAGGAGAGGAGAGGAGAGGAGAGGAGAGGAGAGGAGAGGAGAGGAGAGGAGAGGCTCTCGTTCCGCCTGCTCGGCAGTGCGCGAGGGTGTCGCGGCGATGATTAGCGGTGCTTGAAAAAAGGAGCACGTCCTGCCGGCGAAATTGACCGGACAATTTTAAAGCCCACTTAATACTGCGAAAAATTGCCGTTTCGCCGGCGCATGAATAAAAATTAAGCCGCTCTCGCTCCCCGCCTCTCGGCCCCGCGCGCCGAACAGTTTGGGAACGAGGCTGCATATCCGTATTTACGAGGTGCCGCCGTCGCCGC